TTCCAATTAACCTAATGACTCTACAAGCTATTAAATGAAAAATCGATAATGTTCTCTGTTTCATCGATAAAGAATTCGAGAAAACTGTGTAGGGATTATTTTAATTTTCTAATAGTTATTCGTAATTTTGAAACTCTTTGAAATTCAGTCACTTCGGCAGAAGAACTCAGAAGTCCACAGTAAAGCGTGTTCTGCCTTCGGGCCACATCGTTGCTTTAAGCCTATCTTACTGTCTGTGCACAAAAAGAGCAGCTACCGCCATAGTGTCTGGTGGGTGGCAGTCGTTATAGCAACAGGGCTAGTATATTTCAAACAGGGGAGAAACAAGTGTTGCTAATTCATCTTTAAATGCGCCAAGATGGCAAACTGAAAAGTAAATCTTCAAGACACCCCTACGGAAAATGGGTGAAATCTCGTTTCCACGGCAACAGACAGCTGCAGCCTAACTGGCGAGAGTTTTTCTTATGATAAAAAGACTGTACTACGTTCGGCCATAGTCTTAGGTACCTGGTAAGCTGCTTTCAGATGACGGTATAAAGGGCATAAGTGGTTTAAGTGGAGCTGCTTTGCCGGCAACCAGCCTGTGCTACGTCACAAAACCTGGTTTAACCCTCTCACTGCGTACTTTATTTTATCAAAATAGGTTCAAAATTTGCGTATTTTTTAATTACATATTTCAAATCTACATATATTTTAGAGTTAAAATATACAAACCTTTTTAAAAGAGTTTTTTTTTTTTTTCAATATAGAATTAGATCATAGAAAAAGGTCGTCAGAATACTGAAATTGAAGAATAATGATATAAAAGGAAAATTTTGAAAATTAATATTGGTTAAATTCTGATTTATTTTATAAAATACAAAGGTAAAACAGATGTACGATATATTACATATATTAATTTTTTCAATCAATCAATCAAAACATATATATCAATTTTGCACCACTGTCGAACGTTTTCAATAGAAACTGAATTTTCAGATTCATCACTGACTGCAGCGGAATCCGAGAAATTCTCATCAGTTTCGCTATAACTATGTTCAATATACGAGTACTTAATCAGCGTCAGACTTACTATCCGTGTGGGAAATATCGTCAGGAAGATAGGTTATATCACTCGCGAAACGCTTCCTGCCAGACATCTTTGAGATCTGAAAAGAGCGCGCAAAATGCTACATTACGTGTTCTTGTATATTTAGCAGAAATGTGGACTACTAACGCCATCTGTTAGACCACATCTAAATAAACAATTAAACATCACAGAAAAGCCAAAAGGAAACCTTGAACAGGGAAAGAGCGGGTTGCACAGTTAAATAGACGGCAAAAATTCATCCCCGTGGAAATCGCGGGTTGCTCAGCGAGAGGGTTAAGGCTCTTGGCATAAAGTTCGAAGTTTTCAACTTTATGCCAACTTCGGATAAGCGTCGATCAATCAGAGCGAACGCGCGAAACTTAAATGGGAAAATAGAGCGGGAAAGCTGTAGACACAATCCAATAATGCGCAAATTTAGCTTCTCTAAGTGGGTGCGCTCTGATCGCTAATAATTTTGCTGTTGAAAAATGGAAAATGTCATTTTCTGACCAACAGTATAGGGGAACAGCGGATTTATATGCTTCTTTTTTTCTAACAAATACCTCATGTCCGCTAGGAAGTAGAAGGTTCTGTGTTTGAACGTTCGAAACTAGGACTGAACATTTTCCAATATTATGCTAGTTCTTGTTGCCTTGACCCCTCTAATATTTAATAATATTACTTATTTAATTCTTTGAAATAACGTCGTAAATAAGTTAGCCCTGTGTCACAGGTGTGAACGGAACTCTCGCATTTTATTCCTTGTGACTATCCCTCTGTGACATTTGCGTCGCCGTCTGAACGCAGCCTTAGTGTTCCCCTGTGAGGTTTAATAGCCGGCCATCTCGGTTAGTTATTTTTGTACAGCTTCGGCTAAAATTTAGTTATTTAGAATTTGTTTAGTTTTCTTATTATTTAAATTAAAACCCAAGTGGAGGCTTTCCTGTAAGCCCGAAAGGGAGCGTCTGTAGTATTTCTTTGAAGAAATGAAAGGGTATTTTAACCCTTCTTTGGACTTACATTTTAAAGTTGTAAGAAAAACCAGCGAATAGTCGCTAGACACTTCATAAGGTATTTCTCCCACTTTCCTAGATTGCCTTCGTGGTGTAGTGGTTCTGCACGCTGCACCGATATTCCAGAGGCCCGTGGTTCGATTCCCGGTGAAGGCGATTGCTCATTTTTCATCTCTCCAGCTTCCAAAAAAATCCTAATATCACTACAGTGGCACCCGAACTAAATTGAGTCTCCTAAAATCTCCAGTCGCCCTTTAAAAAGGGGAGTATATAAGGTATTTCTCCCACTTTCCTAGCGTGCTTTCGTGGTGTAGTGGTTCTGCTCGCTGGGCCGGTATTCCAGAGGTCCGTGGTTCGATTCCCGGAGAAGGCGGTTGCTCATTTTTCATCTCTCCAGCTTCCAAAAAAATCCTAATATCTCTACAACTTCACTAAGGTTCTAGTAACCAACGACATGTAAATTAACTAGAACTTTATAAATGTATTGTCTGATGGCATACGTTTTGCTGCAATTCGGAAAATCCCTAATTATCTTTGTAAGTGTATTGCCTGATGGCATATGTTTTGCTGCAAAGTCATCGGAAAATCCCTAATTATCTTATTACAGCCGACTATACTGCTAAAAATTTCACTACGATTACCTGCTCTGCAATCATCTAAACATTTTAAATCGTAAATTTCTATTGTTCTATTTAAATGCAGATTGTATCGTAGGCAAAACACATTCAGGTTATAGATACCGCAATTTTCTTAACTTCTTCCTCAAGCATTTTCAAAAGCGAGTTTCTAAGGAAAGCGATGTCAAAATTTTCTTCAAAACATATGGTTAAATAATTAAAGCAACAAAATTCAGAGAGAGGTTTGTTAGCAGACATTGCTGACGGAAGTCAAAAATATCTAACTGATTTCATTCTTCGACTGGGGTCTTAGATTACATGGAACTACAAGATTGTTTGGCAAAACGATCTCTGTTGAGTGAGGTTTACGATTATTTTCCTTAGATTTATTTAAATCGTTATTTAACGTTCAAACTAACTGCGTTTGCTTATTGGTTTCGTGTGTGTTTCACTTTAATTTGGGTTATTTTAATAATGTTTAGCATATGTCATATTTAATAATTATTTTAATTAAACATGCTAACACACTCTAATTCAGTATCTAAACTAAGTTTTTTCACTTAGTTTGTTAACATATGCAGGCATTTTTATTTTTGTTACTTAAAAGAATTAAATAATATTATTAAATATTAGAGGGATCAAGGCCACAAGAACCAGCATAATATTGGAAAATGTTCAGGCCTAGTTTCGAACGTTCAAACATAGAACCTTCTTCTTCCTGGTGGACATGAGGCATTTGTTAGGAAAAAAAAAAGAAACATATAAATCCTCTGTTGCCCTACACTGTTAGTCAGAAAATCACATTTTCCATTTTTCAACAGCAAAATTATTCAAAAAGCATTAACTTTTGGCGAATTACATTTTCTGCAGACTTTTCATATTCATGAAAATGTTCCGGTTCTAGTTAATGATTCCAGTTCCAATCCACCTTTATCCTCAGCTTTTAAGGAAATTATTTCTCAGTTGTTTTAATTTTTCATCAATAGATAGCGAGGGTAGTTTGATTTCCTTTCTTTCCCTGTTATCATCAGAGCACAGACTTAGTTTTCCTCACTTGCACTTTTGCACATGAAGAAGACGTTTTTGCCTTTACACCTTCGAACTAGTTTTGCAATTATTATTGCAACTACATTATTTTTTAAAAATAATGCATTGAGACAACATTTGAAGGCAACATGTAAAAAGTAACATGGTCAAAAAAGTGAGATTTGAGACTCACTACTAGTTGACATAGTTCAGGCACTTCTGGCTGTTATAGTTCACTCACTAAACTCACTTCTACTTCATAGAGCACACTCACTAGACTCACTTCTAATTGATATACGAGGGCATTTCGAAAAGTAAAGATACAATGGCTCGCATTCCTTAAAAAACATTTATTTAGAAAACGTCAGTTACATTTTATTAACTGGATTATTTATTATTTTTCAGTATAATCACCCCCGTTATCCAAACATTTGTAAAGTCGGTGCACAAGCTTTTGTATCCCACAGTCATAGAAGTTTGCCGCCTGTTGGAACCCAGCGCGCACGCAAATTCCTGTACCCTAACTTGACAGTCACAACTTCATAAAGAGTTATCATTGACACTTCCGGTATGATCTGATGCAATTCTTTCATTTCGAGATGTCCATTCGCACGAATTGCTTCCTCTGTTCTCCGAAGAAGGGCATCAGAGATCACAGATGGCCGACCTGTTCTTTGTTCGTCATGAACATCGATCGGTTCTACCTTCAGAGAAATGACGACACTATTTCGTTACATTTTATCCATTCATAATGTTCCCTCAACAGAAACAATTTCTTTGTGAATATCCGCTGGTCGCTGACCTTTTGCACGAAGGAAACGTATGACGGAGTGCAAATCGCATTTGGCGGGATTCTGAATCGGCGCAGCCATTTTAAACGACGACCTACTCCAACCAGAATCAACGTTGAAATGCCGAACGACCGCGAGGAGAAAGCTAACGGTTCAAGGTTGACACCTATGTTGCCAACTTTCTCACCAAAACTTTCCTTTTCCTCTGGCGTAAGGTGTATATTTACTTTTCGAAAGCAGTTTACCACCTCCGATACTAACTATTACATCAATAAGAATGGCAGAATCTACTGCACTAAAATCATCATATTTAAGCTAAACGCTTTGGAGGAAATAGTAAGAAAGTAAAATGTTCAATACAATTCCCGTGTTATGAAAGTTTACATCATGAAACAAAACATTACTCTGATTTAAAGCTTTCATTTGGCTTCCCAGACTATAAGTTCTTCTCGCGTAAAAATTCAAAACAACAAACATATATCACCTATAGTAATCCTTGACCAAATTGGCGGCTCTTTCATCGTTGAACTTCCGAGCACGCAAAAATCGAAGAAGAAACTCGTCGTCTGTCCGAGTAAGCAGATCTTTTTCTCCTGAAAAACAAAATACTTTAATTACTGGCACACATTTCATAAATCAAAGCGTAATTTAAAGTTCATAATTTTACTCATATCACATTGCAACTTTTATTAAAGATTATACGCATGCAAGGATTAGTATGAATAATAAGTTAATTAAGAACAGCTTTAATAGCATGCGACATGCGACGGAGGACGTGGGCACCACCCCTCTACCAATACGGCTAATCGGTATAGCGCTACGCTCCCCTTTATCTGTTGCCTAGATACATGATACATAAGAACATACGGTGGCTACAGATAGACTGTGCAGAAGATACATATATATTCAGATGCCTAAATACATCTTACGTAGAAACATGGGATGTATGAGATCTATAAGGGGACTTTCATAAGAACTTATCTAAGGTGACACACATTGGGTGACGTACAGTATACTCTTTTTATATTTGCAGAGCAAACTTACATCTCTTGATTGGCTCAGCTACTAAACTCCCTACCATAAATAGTTGGTCAGTTAAAATTAAAACTTGAATTACATACTTTTAGGATATTCTTTGATTTTTTTTCTAGATTTATATTATTTAAATATTTTAATATTAAAGTTTACAAAATTTTTAACAAAACAAAAGATAGCAGCTTGGCACTCAACTTTACTAACATAAGCGCCATCTATATAATTTGCCGAACACACTTACATCATTTAGGAAATACTTTTACAGACCCCAACGCTATATGGTAGGTAAGTTAGAATTAAAACTTACTTGCTTTAAAGTTTTTTTAAGTATTTTTATGTAGTATTTAAGTATTTTCTAGATATGTAATTATATTTATTTGTTTTTTTTTTTATAATTATGAATTAGTTCTTTTTAGTTTCTTATTGGTTTATATAAATTATGTCTAGTTCCTTTTTAGTTTCTTATTGGTTTATATAAATTATGTCTATTTCCTTTTTAGTTTCTTTTTGATTGATATGCATATTCGTGTCGGGGAGGTTTCTGTAGACAAGGGTTTCTAAAATGCATTGGTTTCTAAATTAATTTTTCTGAAAAATTTAATTTAATTTTTTTTTAATTTAATTTAATACTAGACTTTACATTGCTTAATTCTCAAAATACTTCATTATTATTATTTTCCTTTTAGACCCTTATTTTAATTGCTAATTTCTCAAGGTACCACATTATTGGTATTTCTTTTTGGACATTCTTCACTATGTACTTACTTTTGGTTTTGACTTTTACCCTTGCCTGCATGAATGACGAAACACGAATTGAATGATTGTAGAGTTAGGTTTGGAGGCAACTACCCTTGATAAGTCTGTCTCCTGCCTGCTCAACAGTCATTCACTTATGCATTTTTTTTAAAATTTAGATTAATTTTAATTTGCTAAATTGGTGAATTTATTTTCATGGTTTGGTTTTGCACTTGATTTACTTATGCTATCTGAATTTAAATGATATTGTAGATTAGTTCGAAAATTAAATCTTTTATATGTTTGCACATTTTTTAATTATTTTAACTTTAAATTTGTTTTTTACGTATATACATGTTTGTTAATTAAACCTGTATTTAAATTCAATTTATTCTTTTGAAACAAATACATATGAATATAAGATATATAGGAGTAGAATCAGTTACATATTACAGGATGCTGCGAGATAAATAATACAAGATGCTGTGGATACAGATATATGCAGATACATAATACGAGGTGCAAAGTGATATAAGTGGCAGAATACATGGTAGAAGGTGCCAAATAAGATGCATGATACAGGGTTGTGCGAGATATATGTTACAATATGCAGAAAATGCAAATGGCAGATGCCAGGATGCATGATACGTAGAACATAAGGTGCGGTAGATACATAAGATGACAAATATAAGGACATGCATAAGGTGACATACACATACTTAAGAAAAGAAGGTTCAAAATAGGTTACATATTAAAGGATGATACGAGATATATGATAATTATTAAAAAATGATACGAGATATATGATAATTATTAAAAAATGATACGAGATATATGATAATTATTAAAAAATGATACGAGATATATGATAATTATTAAAGGATGATACGAGATATATGATAATTATTGCAGGAAGATACGAGAAATATGATATATATTACACAATGATACAAGATATTTCTGCAGCTTTACCATACTCCCTTTCCTTTCTTTTAATTCATTTTTATCATCCGAAAATTGGGAGAAGAAAATTAGCCGAGAAATTTAATTCCTGAAGAACGCGGTTACAGTGACAACGTAACAAATAAAAAGTAGTGATGGATAAACTACAGGTATCTATAACACTATTATTTCTTTAAGAGAAACCTACACCCCAATACATAGCAATATTAACATTACAGTATCTGATGGGTGTTCAGCAGATATCTGACTTATAATAGAAGCGGACGTCTCCGTAGATTAGTTTGTGAAGCCCCAGGGGTACCTCACGTGAATAAATCTTGACCACAGTTCGCAAAAGGGACAGCAGAGGAACGAAATAGAAGGACTGACAAAAGATCTGGATTTTGACAGCAGCAGAGAAAGTTGCAATGAGCTAGAACGCAAATAATAGAAGTAAGGTGAAATCACATGTTCGGCAAGTTTCTGAAGTGTAAGAACACTTTCCACTCCGAGGCAGAATAATAAGGAATCTATACAAAATACGTTTTAAATAATAAAAGTAAGGGGAAATAAAGTAGGATTAAATGCTACTAAAGAAGTGCAAATAGAAACTGAATGCTAAATAAAAATAAAAATAATAAACCGCTCGTAGCTATCACAATGGCATTTCTTTAAAAGAAATCTGCATTTCAAAGAGAATAGAGAGTAATAATAACATTATAATATCTGTCGGATACTGAGCCGATATTCGACGGTAATTGAGACCTTCAGCGCCATGGAATGAGTCTCAATGGAACGGTCGACTCGCCGGAATGTGTCTTTACCAACAGAGACATCGGAGGAATGAAATTAAGGAGATAAAAAAAGACCCGGATTTCGGAAGATCGAACATATCAGCAGTAGAAGACCTACAAATCACCTAAAATGAGCATCTAATATCAGCAGATATCTCCTACAAAGAGCTGGAACATAAATATTAGAAGTAAGGGGAAATCACTTTACTTCTAATATTCTCCACCTTATATACTGGAATGAGGCTTGACGGCAGCTCCAAAGAGGGACATCAGAGGAACGAAGGAATTGGGAACAAACGGGTTTTGTAAATAAACTGTAGATATTTTGTGCATTCAGCTCAATTATAAAATATTGCTTTGGGTATATGCCAACAATGGAAGAAAACTGTGTTAAAACATTGAGGGAATAAAGTACTTTCCTCAAAATCTTTAACAGGAGCAGTCAGAAACGTAATAACGATAAAGTAAATAACCGGTGCGCAGTGTCGAGTTTGTGGTATTCTCTGATGCTATTCAAGCAAGAAAAAAAAAAAAATCGTTGTGTACATGAGGAGAACAACACCAAAAAGAGGAAAATAATTTCGCGAAAATTAAAAGTGTTATATTTTTTAAACCTTCATTTAAAGACTAAAAATTGTATTTAAAATTGCGCTTTTTTCGATATGTTGATAATCTTCTCAAACTTAAGGTAAATTTCTTTTGGGAGCGTTTTCAAAAAAAGTCGCGAAATTCGCCAACTGGCGCCCGATAAGAATTTTTTACCTTTTTATCTATAAAAATTCGCCAGACTGCAAGTTGGTTGCATTTGGCGATGGAACCTGTTGGCGAGAATTTTCCCCTGTGTGATATGCATATTCACAAAGCCTACACACCATTTCTCTAAGGTCTGCTCTCATTGGATGAAACATCTGCTTGGCGGTCATATTTGGAATGGCGAGTTATCGCCCTGTAGGCGTGGTAATTAACGCCAAACAAACGGAAACGGTGTTTATTTCATTCGATATTTTTTTAGTTTATGAACGAAAGCTTGGAGGAATAGTGTGGAATATATTTTATAAAACTTACTGACCTTACTATTAGTTTATTTGTGTTTGAATTTAAACTTTTAAAAGTACGGAATTGTCTTACAAGAAAAAGGTGTTTACCTGGAGATAGTATATGCATATTTTCGTCATTTCTGTTAGAAAGAGTCTGCTGTGTAAATTTCCATAGCGCATTAATTTATACAAATATAGGAATATTAAAAAATAAACCAAATGAAACATTCAGTAAACATTTAAGGGCGTTGGATACCTATTCTTTTTTACCTAAATTATGAAAAGTAAGTATAACTAAAATTATATTTTGTTCCATTATGCGCTATTTCTATTGAAACGCTTTTCGGGATCTTGGATCGTAATCTTGCTGCTGGTACCTACTACGAAGAGTACAAAACAGTAAATAAAAATAAGAAAAATTAACAAAAATAGAGAAAATAAAGGCGTTTAATTTTTAACACCGCACCCGAAAGCGAAAAGACAAATAATGACAAAGTCATTCAATAAAGTTAAAATTAAAATAAATCCGTATAGAACAGAGTTTATGAATGCTACGAGCGTTGATAGAACCGGCGATCTAGAAGTCAGAATTTTTTTCGCGCTCTTTACCGCTGAGATGCGGTTTCTCCGAAGGGCTTTGCACAATTTTTGGTACACCAGGCTCAAATACAAATTCTAAAGGCGATGAACCAAATGTCGCCAAGCACTAGGTTCTGTAACCTTACGTTTCCTGTTTTAACCAATCGGAGCAAACAGCAGTAGAAACGGTCTGTAGGCTTTGTGAATAAGCCTGTGATATACCGGACGCGTAATGGCAGACCGCACATTGAGTTGAACAGTGTTAAACGAATGTCACATACTGCGCATGCCTAGAAACAAATTTGGCGTAATTATTATGTTGGCGCGATTTGAAAAGAAGATAAATACGGTATGTGGTAGATGTACCGCCATCTGATTGTGAACACATCCGGCGTTTAAATCTTCGTAGAGTATACGTGCAATGTAAAGTAATTACTGTGTAAAATTAGATTTTTTTCCTGCATTGCTCCAACAGCTGGAAAGTTGAAATTTTTGCGAAGTAATGTGAAGCAGTGTTTACATTCAAAATGTAAAATATAATACTTATGAAATTCTGCACATTCCTTTGGAACTGTACAAATTTTCGCTCAGAAAAAGACTGAAATTTAGGATATATTAGTTGAAAATTTATTCATTATACTTTTAAGCAATAAAAACAATTCAGGATTTACCATACGTTCCATTCGTACATCCATAAAGAAACAATGAGGAATATAACAAGTGCTTGCAAATAACACTAAAGAAATTTTACAATTCTTTAATGCTAGTTATTAAATTCTTTGAAATGAGAAAATAAAAGCGCGAATATACGCTAACAAACTAAGCGAGATACTCCAGTTTACAATTACTGAATTATAACATGTAAACAAATTACATTTAAATAACGAATTATTACGAATATATGTAACAAATATTAAATGCACTGTTATTGACAAATTTAAATGAAACGTATATTAGAAAAATAAGCAAGTGCAATCGGCATGGACGTTAAAATAACTAATAAGCAAAGTTCCACAACATTGCAATTTTAAAATCACTCGAACACACTCGACAGCCATGGAGATCACGAATAAGCTAACGTAGGGTTGCTTAGTCGCCAATATTTCTCCCCGCGCCAAAGGTACACCATCAAGCATGGGCAGTAAGCGAAATTCGCTTAACACTGTTCAACTCAATGTGCGGTCTGCCATTACGCATACCGGACTTGGCCGAGATTTTCCTCCTTCGCGACAGCCCACCAGCGGCCGAGCGGTAAAGACGCTGAACACTGGTAGTTCGGTCTGAGGTTCGAATCCCGCGAACGGGCTGGCTGCATGGGCGTTTTCGTGGTTTTCCCCATGTGTAACGTGTATACGAGCCAGTTTCCCTTAGAAAGTCCTCCACGAAAGGCATCCCTCCCCTTAGGCAGATAGCCCTCGTGTGCTTTGCCATTACTGAATAATCCATCCAATCCTCCTTCGCGACAAGGGATAAATAGTCCTGCTTCGCGACGTCATGTCTTTCAACTATTTTATGGAGGCAACAAAAAGCACCTGTACTTGATTTAACATCTGACAAAGTTTTCACAAATGTGATTGATAATTGCAATACTCACGTGCTAAGTATTCCCTCACTCTCGCTAGGTGCTTCTTCCTTTCGCTTGGTATTTCATTTAGCTCTACTTTGGCCTTTCTTAAGTCTTCTTTGACCATTGTAGTATCCAACAGAGGCCTGTATACGGCATTGTTTTCCTTTACGATACGTGCAGTCTCCATCCTGTAAAAGATCACAAACAGTTATGAATGTCTTGGGAAAGGTACCCGATGTGATCAAGTTTAAACATTGAGATAATGTTAATAAACTGCAAGTTACTGAAGTCTGATTTGATACCATTTTGCATTTTAAATATATGTGACAACAACAGCAATAGCAATAACGAAAAGTAAAGAAAATCTAAAAGAAATCAGATTTTAACGTCGTGTCAACGCGGTTGTTAAAAGTATTTTATGTAGTCGCCGAGCTCGTAGTTAATTAATCTGATTTTGGATTCACTCCTGCTGACGCAACTTTTTTTGTCCTTTCAACATTATTATTAAACATCGCTTTCTATGAATTTATATCACATAAAACTCAGCAGCAATATCACAGTCTATAAACAGTATATCTTTAGAATTCCCTGTAAAATGTTAAGTTATGCTATACATTTTTATAGCCCAGAAAAGCTATTAATATCAATCCTAGCGTCGAATCACTTTTGTTGCCCGTTTTTCACTTTCCAAATAACTAGCCGCTAGCGCTGTCAGCGGTTTAAAATACTTACTATGAAAAAACACACATAATGCTTTTAATTATTCCACCAAATGTCATTTCACAGATCAGTCTAGTAATTATTAATAATTTAATGAATATGAGTTTATTGCTTTGAAATCACTTAGCTTGTTAATGAATAAAAGACAGATTAAATTTAAAAGAAAAATTAATTATCTTACGCATCGCCAAATGGCGACTGGTGCTTGGAAGATAAAAATGTTTTATATTCGGCAGTGGCAACACATTTATTTTTGCTCAGTGACAACGCATTTATTTTGATTAAATTTAAAACAAGAGTACCTTGCGCTTTGCCAAGTGGCAACACATTGCTTTAGATTTCCCGGTACAATGTTTATTTTTCTTAATTAAGATGACTAACACAAAATTTTTTTGTCTGTTATTATGACATTTTGTCTTTATTTATTAAACAACACTTTCTTCACATTTACGCCACATAAAAATCAACGGTGCGATAACAAAACACTTCAAAACAGCATATCTTTCAGACAGAGTGTTAAGTGTTGCCATGCATTGTTTTTATATTAGCTATATTCTTTAAAAATGCCACATGACTATAACAGTTGTTAGTAACATCTTTTTATTGTTTTGTTATTCTTTTTCTTCTCATGTATTATTATTTTTTTAAAAAAACAGTATATGGCAACAACACTGGGTGGTAACATACTTTTATTTAAAGAGGAACACTGACACAAAAATGATACAGAAAAAAATTGTGAGGATCGAGTCTGATCCCCCATAGCACAAAACATTCTCATGTTACGAAAACATATTTATTTATTCTGAGGCTAGGAATTGATTTAGTTTTAAAAGTACAATTTATTCCTTTTAACAATTTCCCAACAGTGTCATCAAAACACTATAAATTCTTTACATGTTTTAAAGAAAGATGATTCATTTATGTAGAGATTATTAAATGGCTAATTTTATTATTGAATTTTTAATACAAATTAACTGAAATTAGAAACTGATTTTGTAAAATATTTTAATTATGAATAATTCAATTTGGGGGCTATTGGATGTTAAAAAATGATCGAAAGATTTTTAATATCTTAAAAATAAAAGCAAAGTTTTCAGTTTTAATATTTTGTATTAAAAATTCATTTTAATTTCCTTGCTCAGTTTTAATATATTCACGAATTCAGGTTTAAAAACAAAATAAGTTGTATAAATAGTTTCAACTTTTCTGATTTTATCATTGTAACCATAGGAGAAGGATTTGACACTATCTGTGTAAAATAAGTAGGTTTTAGGCCATCCCAACACCTTCACATACTTTCACTGGAAGTTTCCTCTGTATATATACTGGGATGTGACACTAAGCAGTTGAGAGTACGTATTTAAGAGCTTAAAGGGATATTGTAACTAGTATTTCAAATCCTGATAACATCCCATGCGTTGTCGGTGGGACCTAGATAGGATGTCCTAAGGATATACTGGGATGTGACATTAAGCACTCGGGAGGACGTGTTTAGTAGGAAAGTGGGATCTTACGGGAAGTCCTTAGGATGTAGTAAGTAGGACTTTAAATCCTAATAACATCCCATACCTGTCGATGGGACATAGCTAGGATGTTTCTAGGATATAATGGGATGTGTTTAGGAGGTTAGTGGGATATCCCGGGATGTCCTCAGGACGTAGTAAGTAGGAGTTCATATCCTAATAACATTCCGCACGCTGTCGATGAGACTTAGTTAGGATGTCCTGAGGATATCCTGGGATGTGACATTAAGCACTCGGGAGGAGGTGTTTAGGAGGCTCGCGGGATATTCCGGGATGTCATGAGATGTGCGCATATCCCGCGAGCAACATCCTCGGGATATCCCAAGGATATTTTTGTGCTATGTGGGATATAGTACCACAGGTACTACTACTACTACTACTACTGATAATAACAATAATAATAATTCTTTTTAAGGAAATGAATATTTTTTGTGTTGGTTAACATTTAACATGCCACAGTCTGTTACCGTAAGTTATTACGTAAACATTTATTACTCTACAGGGAGGAAGGTCGTAATAAACTGGACTAAAATTTCGCCTGCGATCCTGTTATCGGCATAAGGTTCTCAACCCCTTCTGCTCCATACACTCCTTTCACCTTTGCTAGAACCTTCTTCTCAACTCGAAAAACACATAAACATTTTTTTTTAAATTTAGAATATTTTAAAGTGCTCTTTAAATTAAAGAAAACGTATAGAAAACGTTAATAACAGCCGAAACTTCAATAAAAGTAGGGTTTTTTTTTTTTTTTTTTTTTTTTTTTATATATATTCATGAAATAAAAATAAATATTTCACAGGTAAATAAAAAGTTGACGGAATTCTTGCCCTGAAAATACGAAATCCCCCATGGTGGGCGGAATTCTCATCTTATTAAGAAGCCCTGTATTAGACAATTGATAGTGACAGGCAGTGTAGCTTTTGTATTCTTTTTATTTATCTTTTACATTTCTTTACCTTTGTTGCCGCTTGAGCAGCCAGCCGCCTAAAAGAGTTATCATAAAGAAGAAGGAAAAAATATATATACAGAAAAAAAAATTCTTAAAGGTTTCAGATTTTAAATTACTTCCAAAGGAGCGTTGTTTAACGTTTTATATGTTACCTTTATTTATTAAATATCTTGTTTCGCGCACTTAAACCATAAGATCCAGTGCAACAGCACTATTGCAAAATAATTTTAAAATTGAGCTTATCTTTAGAATTTCCGAAACACAGTCTCACGCGTTGGAGACAAAAATGTTTTCTCTGTACAACGTTGACAATGCTCGCTTTGAAATCCTTGAGTTTGTTAATCAAAAATTGGTTAAAGTTTTACATAATAAGAAATCGATAATAAAACAAATTCCAAACTCAAATTTGGGCTTCCAGATGCCCATATTCGTCGTAGCATTACGTCATTCAAAATTCTATGGCTCTAGGTACCGTTGTTTCATTACGATGCTAGAAACATACATACAATTACGTAGATTTTAATTTCTTCAACTATAATACAGGGAGATAATATTTGGTAGCAACGCTTTGAAAAGTAATAATGCCTTTTAAAGTTTTCAGCGCATAATACCAAAACAAAATTAATAGTCCTTCAGGGCAAATTGCCCCTTTGGACTAATAAAATCTGAAAGCTTTCATATTTTATATTACGCCCAAAGGGGCTTTTTTTTTAACGTTTCACGTGCTATCTTTACTTATTAAATATCATGTTTTTCGCATTTAAACCATAAAACTCAATTCAACAGCAATATCACAAAATATTTTAAAAAGCCTATCTTTAGAATCTCCGATACCCAGTCTCGCGCGCTGGACATAAAAAAGTTCTTTGCTTTCGTACAGTGTTGTCATTGCTCGCTTTGAAATCGTTGAGTTTGTTAATCAAAAATTCTTTAATGTTTGACATAATAGGAAACAGATAATAAAACAAATTCCAAACTCTAAATTTGGCCTTCGTAATGGCTCTATTTTGGTAATTCAGGTAAATGCATTTTTCACCTGCAGAGGAGGTCCTGATCGACTCTAAATTGAAACTATCGTTTTGATGTTCTAAGGAAATAAATTTTTTACTTCCGAAGGTAGTCGTGATGTGCTTTAAATCTGCACAACTGTGTCAGAATTTATTAAAATATAAGTTCAGTTAACGTTTATCGATTTAAAATGTTCACTCCCATTTCGGAATTTTAATATATGTAAATAAATAAACACCGATTTTAAATTTCCAGAAATATATATATTTCACAACTTTCTAAAGGTTTTGTATATAAAATGTGTAATGGTGAAGAAGGGGAGATCTTCAAAAAAATAATCTTTGGAGCTATTCATATAAGCTTCGTTACTCTAATCCCAGTAGATGATTGGTGCCCATAAGCGAAATGTATCAATTAATGTTATTTTAAATACTATATTTTACCAACATCTAAAATTTACGTAATAATTATTCAATAGTTGTATATCAAAAGTTTTCAAATTCTGTAAATTTTAAACGATTGTTTAAAATATGGAAAGTTTTACGCTGCCAAAAACAAATAATATATATAATCCAGAAATATGCTAAATGGGTATCTTCAGAAACTAAAATAAAATTCATGAAACTGTTATAAGAAAAGAATACTTGTATTTTTAATCTTCGGTATTAAATGTAATTTTGAAAGAAAATCCTATTTTCCAATACATATTAGACATTAATATGAGAAAACGTTTCTATCAGTTACCAAAAGATGCCAGCACTATATTTTTAAAATTATTTGAATTTGGGAGAAAACGTTTCTATCTTTTAACAATAGATGGCAGCACCTCAGAATCATTGAATTATTTGAATTTCATGTGCGAAATTGAACGGAAATATGAGGCACTAAATTATAAATTTAGAATTGATAAAAAGAAATAAAATTCCCCCCCCCATTATTTTTATATTTCCGTTCAGGAAGACTTAGTGAAAATAAATTATTAT